TTGTACTAACATCACACAAACCCAGTGTAATCTTGTACTAACATCACACAACCCCAGTGTAATCTTGTACTAACATCACACAATTCAAGTGTAATCTTGTACTAACATCACACAATTCAAGTGTTGATGTATTCAAACATCACACGACTTCCACTCTAAAACATTTGCCTACATCATCACACTAAAACTGGTTGGTGTTTGTACAGATAGTTTCACATTTCCTCCAATGTTAGCATTTCCTGACCACATAAAGTTGATTTGCTTGACAAAATCCATTTATAAATGCTGAACTACAGCAATTTGATATACTGCTGAGGAAACCCTATTTGTAATGCATTGTCTTCTGCCTGATGGAGAACCTAAGTACAAACATTCAGGTCACACGGCAGTAAAAGGTTTTGAAATAGTTTCCAGTCAGAGCATTAAACACCTGGACTAGATAAGAAGGACATGGCCTGATAACCATATTGGACAATTAAGGATTCTCTTAACCCTAATACACCAAAACTGCATCTGATCCCATTAAGTGAATTCAATAATAAGGTTGTGTTTGGTCTTGATGTGACCCTCGATTAGCAAGTGTCATCCATCAGCTGTCCCACGGGAGTGATAACTATGGGAGTTTAACTAATAGAAATAAGTCTGACAGTAGCAAATAGTTCAAAATGGCGAGAAGACAACGACAAAATAAAAAAATGTACAATATTCATACATTTGTAATGGAAAAAAATGGATGCACTATTCAGAGATAGAGGATCTTAAAGTGTGTCTCCATTTCAAATGAGATTTATGAAACAAGTATAGGAATTTCTTTTTTGCTGAGCCATTAGTGAGGTAAAATGAAACAAAAATGACAAGTTTTATAAATCTCATATGAAGCATAAACAAATGTTTGATTCTAGATATCACAGAGACTAAAATTTTTTGCAAAGATTTATGAAAATGTTTTAAACTTGTACAAAATATAAACTGTCCATGTTCTTGCTCCAAAGCTCTTTGGTGACGTCATAATGCAAATAGCACTTTGAAGCTATGACATCACAATGGAAACCAGCCAATCACAGATCATCAAGGTCATATTCCATGTGTGATAAAATATTTATAACTAGTGTTTTACTTTATTAATAACAGAGTAAGTGAAAAATGTTTATCAAAAATCAGTTATGATCTTCAGCCACAGATTTGTTGATGAGGGCAAATAAGAATATGACAGTTGTAAAACTTGATGATAGCAATATCTAGATCACAATGAAGAAGATAGTTCTTTCTGTATGCTGAGAAGCTGTCATTTTCACATTGTATGTAATAACAGAATACTTATGTGTTAAAATCATTCATTTGAGATCAGGTTATATATAAACTTGTTATCCCCCCTCCATTGTAGAATTCCTACAGACTTCATACTTCATTGATGTTGCTTCACTTGTAGATTTGATATTGAATCTTACAAGATTCCCTCCTATTTCCTCTCCTGGAACCCAGGTATACAATCTTTATAAATGTTAAACATCCACTTTCTAGCTTTAAATAATCTGAGAGGCAAGAACAGGTTTGAAACTCTTCATTTAGAGGTCTACTACATGTCTCCATTCTAGTCCCTTAGCTGACAAAATCTTTCAGCTTAGTTGATATTCCTCAATCAAAAAACAACAGACAACTGAATTTCTTCTAGAATGACGTAATCTGAGTCCGTTGAAATCTCAACAGAAATGTAATTGGAGTACACTGAAAACTCCATATAGATATTACTGAATAAGAGATCCCAGAGGGATCTTGGTGCCCACCATTGTTTGATCTTTATAAGAGATCCCAGAGGGATGTTGGCACCCACCATTGTTTGATCTATATAAGAGATCCCAGAGGGATCTTGGTGCCCACCATTGTTTGATCTTTATAAGAGATCCCAGAGGGATCTTGGCGCCCACCATTGTTTGATCTATATAGGAGATCCCAAAGGGATCTTGGTGCCCACCATTGTTTGATCTTTATAAGAGATCCCAGAGGGATCTTGGTGCCCACCATTGTGTGGTCTTTATAAGAGATCCCAGAGGGATCTTGGTGCCCACCATTGTTTGATCTTTATAAGAGATCCCAGAGGGATCTTGGTGCCCACCATTGTTTGATCTATATAGGAGATCCCAAAGGGATCTTGGTGCCCACCATTGTTTGATCTATATAAGAGATCCCAGAGCGATCTCAGTGCCCACCATTGTTTGATCTTTATAAGAGATCCCAGAGCGATCTCAGTGCCCTCCATTGTTTGATCTTTATTTTCTCATTGAGAGTTAGATCTTTACCTTCTTTTCTCTTCTCTGTTTTTACTCTTAATGATAAGGCATTTGAACATTCCTTTGCAGAAATAGCCATGATAATTTTTACCCAACAAATCCAAAGTGGCCACCTGGAAGCCATTATGTTTCTTCTGCTCAGTCCTAAAATCAACCGGGTACAAGGAGAGACCAAAGGGACCAAATATTTGACGGTTGCCTGTCAGCCATTTTGTTTTACTGATCGGTTCAAAACTCGAACAGGCACAACTAGGGACTAATAGGAAACTATACATGAAATTTGAGAAAGATCTATACAAGAAATAGTGATAGCAAACTTTTAAAGCCAAAATCAAAGATGGCCGCTTGTGAGCTACTTTGATTTTTCTAATCAGTACCAAAATCAAAGCATACATATAAAATTTGAGAAAGATACATGCTATACTTCTCAAGAAATAGTGATAAGAAACTTTCAAAGTCTAAAACTAAGATGGTCGCCTTTTGGCCATTTTGTTTTTCTGTTCAGACCCAAAAACTAATGTGCACAACTAGGGACCAAAGGGAACCTATATATGAAATCTAATAAAGATCCATTGGGTACTTCTCGAGAAATAGTGATATTAGCCTTGCAAAGTCAAAATCAAAGATTGTTGCCTGATGGCCATTTCATTTTTCTGAGAGAGATCAATCCAGTGCTTTTCTAGAAATATCTTTTAAAATTTTTTTAAAAGCTCTATAAAGATCTTACTGAGCAGTGTGTTCTTGGTCAGTAAAACACACTGTAAAGACCTTACTAGGCAATGTGTTCTTGGTCAGTAAAACACACTGTAAAGACCTTACTAGGCAATGTGTTCTTGGTCAGTAAAACACACTGTAAAGACCTTACTAGGCAATGTGTTCTTGGTCAGTAAAACACACTGTAAAGACCTTACTGAGCAGTGTGTTCTTGGTCAGTAAAACACACTGTAAAGACCTTACTAGGCAATGTGTTCTTGGTCAGTAAAACACACTGTAAAGACCTTACTGAGCAGTGTGTTCTTGGTCAGTGAAAAGCTCTGTAAAGACCTTACTAGGCAATGTGTTCTTGGTCAGTAAAACACAGTGAAAAGCTCTATGGGTAGATAGGTACTGTGATCAGGGTCACTTCAACGCTCTACAGAGATGTGATATGAGTAAGTTGATGCTCGGTGTAGAAAGTGTAGGTAATATATCAAAAGTTCTACTCACACGTAATCTGAGTCAGTTAAAAGCTCTTTAACATCTTACAGGATTATTTTTTCCAATTTATTCAATTCAACAAAACATGAAGAAAAAGGACTTAACAACAGACATAACCTATATAAGTCTCAATGAGTTAAAGTCTGTTAATGGATCCAAACTAAAGTCACAATTTCATTTGTATTGTTTTGTTGGTGTAATTACTGCTTCAGGTATCATGTTGAAGTAAATGATCTTTTGTTCCTCATAATTATTGGGTTTTTTTCTGAAATGATAAAATCTTATAGATATTTCGTACTCAGTGAGATGGTTTCAATGAATAAAGAGTCTGTCTCATAAGGAAAGTGGAAAAAGTTTTACAACAAAATTTTGAGAAAAATCACTCTCCAATTAAATATGTTGTAACAGATACAATTTTCACAATTCCATTTTATTGATGAGGTGCATTTCAAAAAAACAATGACTGGTCTATTGAATAGCTACGCAATCTTCAACTACATTTCCCTGAATTTTTCAATGGATAAGATCCAAGTATTTACATATGTTTATTGATATTACATATACAAAGGGTAATAACTGATGATGATAAAGGTTCATGTACAAAGGGGAATAACTGATGATGATAAAGGTTCATGTACAAAGGGGAATAACTGATAACAATAAAGGTTCATGTACAAAGGGGAATAACTGATGACGATAAAGGTTCATGTACAAAGGGGAATAACTGATGACAATAAAGGTTCATGTACAAACGGGAATAACTGATAACAATAAATGTTCATGTACAAAGGGGAATAACTGATGACAAAGGTTCACGTACAAAGGGGAATAACTGATGACAAAGGTTCACGTACAAAGGGGAATAACTGATGACAAAGGTTCACGTACAAAGGGGAATAACTGATGACAATAAAGGTTCATGTACAAAGGGGAATAACTGATGACAAAGGTTCATGTACAAAGGAGAATAACTGATGACAAAGGTTCACGTACAAAGGGGAATAACTGATGACAAAGGTTCACGTACAAAGGGGAATAACAGATGACAAAGGTTCTCGTACAAAGGGGAATAACTGATGACAAAGGTTCACGTACAAAGGGCAATAACTGATGACAAAGGTTCAAGTACAAAGGAGAATAACTGATGACGATAAAGGTTCATGTACAAAGGGGAATAACTGATGACGATTAAGGTTCATATAAAAAAGGGGAATAACTGATGACGATAAAGATTCATGTACAAAGGGGAATAACTGTTATAGATACAATACACAGATTTACATTTTAAAGAAAAATAACTGGAATCCATGTTAAACATGTACATGATGTGTGTCTCTCTTTCTGTATTGGTAAAAACACATTTGCTAAATCAACAGTGACTCAACAACTCAATTCAGTACACTGCTATTGAAATTAATTACAGTAAAGTGTTATAATTCTGGGCAGCAGAAATCCAGTAATGTTTTTTTTAATGCTCTGAAATTTTGTAATGAGAACAACATCAGTGAACATTACCTTTTGAAGGTGCATGTTTTTGGTAAGTGTTTCTTCTAACATCCGTTGTAACTTTCGGTTCATTTCCTTCAGTCCCTGTTCATCAGATTTATTCACAAGGTCTAGCACCTTCTTCAGTGTAAGTTTATCGTCATGGTTTCCAGTATGTGGTTTGGGGTCTGTAATTTGTTAAGATTTATACTATTATAAAATATCTACACATACCCTAAAACAACGAAAAAATGAACCAAAGGTAGATAGAATGATAAAATTGTGTCTAAAATAATCAAGCCCTGAAAATAAATTGTTGTCAAAAATAAAATCAGTGTCTAAACTAGGTCAGTCCAGAAAATAAGTCAGTAGCTCACCCAAACCATTGTCTCATTACTAAAAAAGAATATCGGCAAAGAGCTTCAAGGTGACAGAGGATTGGTTCAATTAAATGGCATTTGATTCTAATTCTAAAGAACATCAAATTATACAGACAGGTTTACTACCAGGCATGGTCTTGTTGTTGGATATATTCTCTACAATGACTTTTGACTTACATTTCTATTCAGTAGCATTTTCTGATCCAAACTGGACCTAATGGATTGACTTTTGGTAGGATATTACAATAGAACTGTTTTATTAGTTGGCTATTTTTCACCAGAAGATTGATGGACACTGAACAGTAAGATAAATAATCTTGTTATTTGGTTGTCTATGATTTGATGATAAATATATTTGACTACTCACCCGCTCGACTATCCATAACATAATGCTCAATAATTTTTGTTTTGGAGATGAGATCTTCCGCCATAGCTGCTGTGCTCATCTCTAGATGAGACACCTGTAGGAGATAACATCACATACTACTACTAAAAGTCTTCTTGCAATATCTAAAGTTTAAATGAAATTTCCTTATAAAGATCACCTGATCTTGTTTCCCTTTCAAAGAATTTTGGTTAAGAGTGGAAAACCTAGAAATCCCAGACATATCTGTTTTATCACGTATTGTTCTGTAATTATAAATCAGGACTTCTGATGCCATAGAAACCCCTTAAAAATATCTACAGACTGGTCCTTGTTATAAAACATGACTTATCATATCCATAAAAATCACTTACAACTTTGGGACTTGCCCTGTAGGTCAAAGTAAGAAATTTGAAACCCCTCACATATATATGTAGACTGTAGTAATAATACATGACTTTAAATACCTTCTCTTCCATATTCCATTTCTCCTGTTGTAGTTCTGCCAGTCTGGACACCAAATCATTATGCTCTTGTTCCAAATCCCCCAGGGGACTCTGTAGTCTATCTGGGGACTAAAACGAGGTCCAGATCATGTAGGTGAAGACAGAACAGATCATGTAGGTGAAGACAGAACAGATCATGTAGGTGAAGACAGAACAGATCATGTAGGTGACGACAGAACAGTTCATGTAGGTGAAGACAGAACAGTTCATGTATGTGACGACAGAACATATCATGTAGGTGATGACAGAACAGATCATGTAGGTGAAGACAGAGCAGATCATGTAGGTGAAGACAGAACAGATCATGTAGGTGAAGACAGAACAGTTCATGTATGTGAAGACAGAACAGTTCATGTATGTGACGACAGAACAGTTCATGTAGGTGACGACAGAACAGATCATGTAGGTGAAGACAGAACAGTTCATGTATGTGACGACAGAACAGTTCATGTAGGTGACGACAGAACAGATCATGTAGGTGAAGACAGAACAGATCATGTAGGTGACAACAGAACAGATCATGTAGGTGAAGACAGAACAGATCATGTAGGTGACGACAGAACAGATCATGTAGGTGACCACAGAACAGTTCATGTATAGGAAGACAGAACAGTTCATGTAGGTGAAGACAGAACAGATCATGTAGGTGACGACAGAACAGATCATGTAGGTGACGACAGAACAGATCATGTAGGTGAAGACAGAACAGATCATGTAGGTGAAGACAGAACAGATCATGTAGGTGACGACAGAACAGATCATGTAGGTGAAGACAGAACAGATCATGTAGGTGAAGACAGAACAGATCATGTAGGTGAAGACAGAACAGATCATGTAGGTGAAGACAGAACAGTTCATGTAGGTGGCGATAGAACAGATCATGTAAGTGAAGACCATTAATTCTTCTATGTTAAATTATAAACACAGGACAATGGCTGTTATTTCAATTTCTGGGAAAAAAACCACAAGCATCAGGATTAATTTTTCATATTTCTAACTATAATACCTTGTTTTCCCCTATTTTTTAGATGAGGTGGAAAAGGGGGATTGGGAGTTACTGCTAATCATTAACGATTTTTTTGGTGGGGGATTGGGATGTTCTGGTTAATTTCATGGGTGTTCTTAATCCAGGAATTCATATGTCTAAAAAATGTTAGAATCACTTTCAGTGGATGTAGATTGGAGTTACACCTATCCACAAAATCAAGTGTGTAAAAAATGTTTTTGAAAGTCTATGAAAATTGAGCTCCACAAAAGTAAATAATTTTACTGAACACCTTTCAGTAAGAGAGACAATAAACCCATTTCAACAGTTTCTGAGAATTAATTGTAAGTACCTCTATTAACACTATAAAACCTTTTTGTGTTGTAGCTGTGGCTTAATCCAGTATTATCTAAACTATCAACTCAGCCTGTCTGATTGTTACCCTAACAAGAGCCTCAAGGGCATTAACAGTCACATGAGTCACAATGATTCCTGTAACATGTCATAGAAATAATTTTGTTAAAAAAAAAGGAAATGGACGTATGGACACACGAAGGGACAGGTGAAGAATATGACGCCAATATACGACTGCCTCTGGCGGTGTATAAAAATTTTTCTATATAAACTATAGTAAATTTCACCCCCTCCCCAAGGGGAAATGTGAGACCATGGGGTTATGAAAATTACAAGTTTGGTTAAGCACCATAAGAAACTTCCATCCATGAAGAGTATTTGGTTCTTCATTATCTGAGTATTGAGAAGAAGATTTTTGAAATTTCAGTCAACCTGACCCATTTTTGACCCCCCACCCCAGAAACGCCCCTAGGAATCAGTGGAGGTCAATATGTGCATCTTGTCAAACTGTCATCTTCAATCTATAATTCTAACCATGCCTGAACTATTTCCAATTGAAATAAACAAATAATGTTCAAATAAGTTAAATTTACCCCCTCCCCAGGGGAAAATGTGACACCCTGGGGTCATGAAATTTATAATTTAGGTAAAGCATCTGAAGGCCTTCCATCCACAAAGAGTACTTGATTCTACCATTCCTGGGATTTGAGAAGAAGATTTTTGAAATTTCGATCAAGTGACCCTTTTTTCCTTTTTTGCCCTACTCTTCAGGCCCCTGATGGTGAGGGACCACAAAATTTTGTAAAATTTCATTGAAATCATTTCAGGAGATTGTATCATGTGACCTAAAAACTCACCTGAGGTCCACTTGTGTTACTGATGTCTTTGGCTAAACTGGCTCCCACACTCCAGGAGGACACAGAACTGTCAGGGTACATTTACATTATAATTTTACAAATCACTACCACATCATCACAATTTCAAAATAAGATTTAAACTCAATGATTCATACAAGATTTCCATACACATCAACTAGATTATAACTAGACCTGTCAACTTTCTTGCGGTCAGACTGTGTAACTTGTTATCCACTAGGAACTCATTTGACCAGTATGAGTGACAGGACACTAACTTGACAAAGATCCAAACTATAACAGGATTTATTATATGAAGGATGAAGAATCAGGATACCCACCTTCTGTCTTCTCTCAGAGAACTGTCTCCATCAAATGAGCCAAACATATCCTCCATAGCTTTACAAAAGAAAAAAATAATGAAAAAATATGGATATTTAGCAGGACAAAAAGGTTTGACTTTTGTGAAAGTCTATATAAGAAAAGATCCAAAGGTCCTGCATCAGTCACCTTTTCATGGTAATAATAAAAGAAGTTAAATGATTCTGTTGGGACACTATTGGTCATGTCTTAACATAATTATCAATCTATAAACAATACGCTTCATTTATTTCTTTCATTCTGACATTTATTATTGTATCATCTCCACCTCAACAACAGAACTCAAACACCTCATCTCCACCTCAACAACAGAACTCAAACACCTCATCTCCACCTCAACAACAGAACTCAAACACCTCATCTCCACCTCAACAACAGAACTCAAACACCTCATCTCCACCTCAACAACAGAACTCAAACACCTCATCTCCACCTCAACAACAGAACTCAAACACCTCATCTCCACCTCAACAACAGAACTCAAACACCTCATCTCCACCTCAACAACAGAACTCAAACACCTCATCTCCACCTCAACAACAGAACTCAAACACCTCATCTCCACCTCAACAACAGAACTCAAACACCTCATCTCCACCTCAACAACAGAACTCAAACACCTCATCTCCACCTCAACAACAGAACTCAAACACATCATATCCACCTCAACAACACAACTCAAACACATCATCTCCACCTCAACAACACAACTCAAACACATCATCTCAACAACAGAACTCAAACACATCATCTCAACAACAGAACTCAAACACACCATCTCAACAACAGAACTCAAACACATCATCTCCACCTCAACAACAGAACTCAAACACATCATTTCTACCTCAAACAACAGAACTCAAACACATCATTTCTACCTCAACAACAGAAGTCAAACACATCATCTCAACCTAAACAACAGAACTCAAACACATCATCTCCACCTCGACAACAGAACTCAAACACATCATCTCCACCTCAACAACAGAACTCAAACACATCATCTCCACCTCAACAACAGAACTCAAACACATCATCTCCACCTCAACATCAGAACTCAAACACATCATTTCTACCTCAACAACAGAAGTCAAACACATCATCTCAACCTAAACAACAGAACTCAAACACATCATCTCCACCTCAACAACAGAACTCAAACACATCATCTCCACCTCAACAACAGAACTCAAACACCTCATCTCCACCTCAAAAACAGAACTCAAACACATCATCTCAACCTTAACAACAGAACTCAAACACATCATCTCAACCTCAACAACAGAACTCAAACACATCATCTCCACCTCAACAACAGAACTCAAACACCTCATCTCCACCTCAACAACAGAACTCAAACACATCATCTCCACCTCAACAACAGAACTCAAACACATCATCTCAACAACAGAACTCAAACACATCATCTCAACCTCAACAGCAGAACTCAAACACATCATCTCAACAACAGAACTCAAACACATCATCTCAACCTCAACAACAGAACTCAAACACATCATCTCAACCTCAACAACAGAACTCAAACACATCATCTCAACAACAGAACTCAAACACATCATCTCAACCTCAACAGCAGAACTCAAACACATCATCTCAACAACAGAACTCAAACACATCATCTCAACCTCAACAACAGAACTCAAACACATCATCTCAACAACAGAACTCAAACATATCATCTCAACAACAGAACTCAAACACCTCATCTCCACCTCAACAAACTCAAAACATCTCAACAACAGAACTCAAACACCTCATCTCCACCTCAACAACAGAACTCAAACACCTCATCTCAACAACAGAACTCAAACACATCATCTCCACCTCAACAACAGAACTCAAACACATCATCTCAACAACAGAACTCAAACACATCATCTCCACCTCAACAACAGAACTCAAACACATCATCTCCACCTCAACAACAGAACTCAAACACATCATCTCCACCTCAACAACAGAACTCAAACACATCATCTCCACCTCAACAACAGAACTCAAACACATCATCTCAACCTCATCAGAACTCAAACACCTCATCTCAAAAACAGAACTCAAACACATCATCTCCACCTCAACAACAGAGCTCAAACACATCATCTCAACAACAGAACTCAAACACATCATCTCAACAACAGCACTCAAACACCTCATCTCCACCTCAACAACAGAACTCAAACACCTCATCTCAACAACAGAACTCAAACACCTCATCTCCACCTCAACAACAGAACTCAAACACATCATCTCAACAACAGAACTCAAACACATCATCTCAACCTCAACAGCAGAACTCAAACACATCATCTCAACAACAGAACTCAAACACATCATCTCAACCTCAACAACAGAACTCAAACACATCATCTCAACCTCAACAACAGAACTCAAACACATCATCTCAACCTCAACAACAGAACTCAAACACATCATCTCAACAACAGAACTCAAACACATCATCTCAACAACAGAACTCAAACACCTCATCTCCACCTCAACAACAGAACTCAAACACCTCATCTCAACAACAGGACTCAAACACCTCATCTCCACCTCAACAACAGAACTCAAACACATCATCTCAACAACAGAACTCAAACACATCATCTCAACAACAGAACTCAAACACATCATCTCAACAACAGAACTCAAACACATCATCTCCACCTCAACAACAGAACTCAAACACATCATCTCCACCTCAACAACAGAACTCAAACACATCATCTCCACCTCAACAACAGAACTCAAACACATCATCTCAACCTCATCAGAACTCAAACACATCATCTCAAAAACAGAACTCAAACACATCATCTCAACAACAGAACTCAAACACATCATCTCAACAACAGAACTCAACACATCATCTCAACAACAGAACTCAAACACATCATCTCAACCTCAACAACAGAACTCAAAGACATCATCTCAACAACAGAACTCAAACACATCATCTCAACCTCAACAACAGAACTCAAACACATCATCTCAACCTCAACAACACAGTTTTATGATATGAACTGATCAGAAACACTCAAAATTAAAAGAGGTCTGTAAATCCTGACTGTAACGTTTGTCATAGGTAACAAACATAATTAACAAGAAAAAATCTAACAAAAACATGCAGTATAAAGACGGTTAACATTTTAATTCAGTCATTATTTTGTTTTGTCTGCTATTGGTCCTTTCATTATTTATACACACGAGAAACTTGTAAATTTAAAAGTAGTCTTACTTTTCCCTTGTTGATTCTCCGACAGAGTTTCCTGTAGTCTATCTTGTAACTTCTCGGCACGCTTTCTCTCTGCATGTAGCTGGCGTTTCAGATCTTTTAGCTGACGAAAGAGTTAACAGATAAAAAAAAAATTCCATTTGGTAGACAGTACAACTCAATGTCTTAGATTCTTATCCCATAGAGACCTTGGTGCCCACCATTGTTTGCTCTTAATTTGTTTTTTAAAATTTTGTTCTTTTCCTGTTTTTTCTCTTTTTATTTCTCTCGATTTAGCTCTTATTATTTGAAATTTTAAAATTCATCTTTAAGCGTCTAATCAAAGATGGCATTTTCAAAACCCAAGGTGGCTGCCCGTCTGCTATTTTGATTTTCTGATCAGTTCAAAAATCAAAAGACACAACTAGGAACCAAGTGGTGGCTGCATGTCTGCTATTTCTGATCAGTTCCAAAATCAAAAGACACAACTAGGAACCAAGTGGAATCCATCTGACAATGGTGGATTAAAAAACAAACAAAAGCAAAAAAAAAAATGTTTATTATCTAAAATTATAATTAGGGGAAAGTATGCTTGTTTTATACATATAACAAATATTAGATAATGAATTTGGTTATTACATGAGACAAAAGCAATGTTGGTAAACAAACCTATCTCCTTTACAGGGTAGAAGGAAGCAAATTTAATTCACAGCACTTGTACAGCAGAGATGTGGACACAAAACCAAAATCTGATGATGACATGTCTTTACCACAAACAAGAGTGATCTTACTGCAGAAATGTGGACAAAACACTAAATTCTGATGATGACATGTCTTTACCACAAACAAGAGTGATCTTTCTGCAGAAATGTGGACACAAAACCAAAATCTGATGATGACATGTCTTTACCACAAACAAGAGTGATCTTACTGCAGAAATGTGGACACAACACCAAAAACTGAAGATGACATGTCTTTACCACAAACAAGAGTGATCTTACTGCAGAAATGTGGACACAACACCAAAAACTGATGATGACATGTCTTTACCACAAACAAGAGTGATCTTACTGCAGAAATGTGGACAAAACACTAAATTCTGATGATGACATGTCTTTACCACAAACAAGAGTGATCTTACTGCAGAAATGTGGACACAAAACCAAGATCTGATGATGACATGTCTTTACCACAAACAAGAGTGATCTTACTGCAGAAATGTGGACAAAACACTAAATTCTGATGATGACATGTCTTTACCACAAACAAGAGTGATCTTACAGCAGAAATGTGGACACAAAACCAAAATCTGAAGATGACATGTCTTTACCACAAACAAGAGTGATCTTACAGCAGAAATGTGGACACAACACCAAAAACTGAAGATGACATGTCTTTACCACAAACAAGAGTGATCTTACAGCAGAAATGTGGACAAAACACTAAATTCTGATGATGACATGTCTTTACCACAAACAAGAGTGATCTTACTGCAGAAATGTGGACACAAAACCAAAATCTGATGATGACATGTCTTTACCACAAACAAGAGTGATCTTACTGCAGAAATGTGGACACAACACCAAAAACTGAAGATGACATGTCTTTACCACAAACAAGAGTGATCTTACTGCAGAAATGTGGACAAAACACTAAATTCTGATGATGACATGTCTTTACCACAAACAAGAGTGATCTTACTGCAGAAATGTGGACAAAACACTAAATTCTGATGATGACATGTCTTTACCACAAACAAGAGTGATCTTACTGCAGAAATGTGGACAAAACACTAAATTCTGATGATGACATGTCTTTACCACAAACAAGAGTGATCTTACAGCAGAAATGTGGACACAAAACCAAGATCTGATGATGACATGTCTTTACCACAAACAAGAGTGATCTTACAGCAGAAATGTGGACACAACACCAAAAACTGAAGATGACATGTCTTTACCACAAACAAGAGTGATCTTACTGCAGAAATGTGGACACAACACCAAAAACTGAAGATGACATGTCTTTACCACAAACAAGAGTGATCTTACAGCAGAAATGTGGACACAACACCAAAAACTGAAGATGACATGTCTTTACCACAAACAAGAGTGATCTTACAGCAGAAATGTGGACACAACACCAAAAACTGAAGATGACATGTCTTTACCACAAACAAGAGTGATCTTACTGCAGAAATGTGGACAAAACACCAAATTCTGATGATGACATGTCTTTACCACAAACAAGAGTGATCTTACTGCAAAAATGTAGACAGAACACCAAAAACTGAAGATGACATGTCTTTACCACAAACAAGAGTGATCTTACTGCAGAAATGTGGACACAAAACCAAAAACTGAAGATGACATGTCTTTACCACAAACAAGAGTGATCTTATAGCAGAAATGTGGACAAAACACTAAATTCTGATGATGACATGTCTTTACCACAAACAAGAGTGATCTTACTGCAAAAATGTGGACACAACACCAAAAACTGAAGATGACATGTCTTTACCACAAACAAGAGTGATCTTACTGCAGAAATGTGGACAAAACACTAAATTCTGATGATGACATGTCTTTACCACAAACAAGAGTGATCTTACTGCAGAAATGTGGACAAAACACTAAATTCTGATGATGACATGTCTTTACCACAAACAAGAGTGATCTTACTGCAGAAATGTGGACAAAACACTAAATTCTGATGATGACATGTCTTTACCACAAACAAGAGTGATCTTACAGCAGAAATGTGGACAAAACACCAAATTCTGATGATGACATGTCTTTACCACAAACAAGAGTGATCTTACTGCAGAAATGTGGACAAAACACCAAAAACTGATGATGACATGTCTTTACCACAAACAAGAGTGATCTTACTGCAGAAATGTGGACACAACACCAAAAACTGAAGATGACATGTCTTTACCACAAACAAGAGTGATCTTACTGCAGAAATGTGGACACAAAACCAAAATTTGATAACATGTCTTTACCACAAACAAGAGTGATCTTACTACAGAAATGTGGACACAAAACCAAAATTTGATAACATGTCTTTACCACAAACAAGAGTGATCTTACAGCAGAAATGTGGACACAAAACCAAAATCTGATGATGACATGTCTTTACCACAAACAAGAGTGATCTTACAGCAGAAATGTGGACAAAACACTAAATTCTGATGATGACATGTCTTTACCACAAACAAGAGTGATTTTACAGCAGAAATGTGGACACAAAACCAAAAACTGAAGATGACATGTCTTTACCACAAACAAGAGTGATCTTACTGCAGAAATGTGGACACAACACCAAAAACTGAAGATGACATGTCTTTACCACAAACAAGAGTGATCTTACAGCAGAAATGAACACCAAAAACTGAAGATGACATGTCTTTACCACAAACAAGAGTGATCTTACTGCAGAAATGTGGACAAAACACTAAATTCTGATGATGACATGTCTTTACCACAAACAAGAGTGATCTTATAGCAGAAATGTGGACAAAACACTAAATTCTGATGATGACATGTCTTTACCACAAACAAGAGTGATCTTACAGCAGAAATGTGGACACAAAACCAAAAACTGAAGATGACATGTCTTTACCACAAACAAGAGTGATCTTACTGCAGAAATGTGGACACAAAAACAAAATCTGATGATGACATGTCTTTACCACAAACAAGAGTGATCTTATAGCAGAAATGTGGACAAAACACTAAATTCTGATGATGACATGTCTTTACCACAAACAAGAGTGATCTTACAGCAGAAATGTGGACACAAAACCAAAAACTGAAGATGACATGTCTTTACCACAAACAAGAGTGATCTTACTGCAGAAATGTGGACACAAAACCAAGATCTGATGATGACATGTCTTTACCACAAACAAGAGTGATCTTACTGCAGAAATGTGGACACAAAACCAAAATCTGATGATGACATGTCTTTACCACAAACAAGAGTGATCTTACTGTAAACAAATTAAATAATGAGACATAGACACAATTGGCCGGGTTGAGGGATGAGTGCAATGTTATATGGTATTCATAAGACAGTTAAGGGTGTTTCATTTGTTGAGCACATCTTTAACATATATATAAACATCCTACAAAGTTTCAAGCTTCTACATCAAAAACTCTAGGAGGAGTTGATTCTACAAAACTGGTACCCCTTTTCCCTAACAAATTGCGGAAAATAACTAAGTTCCAAAGCCCCGAAAATCCAGAAAAATGTCAGGAATGAACCCATAATAGGAGGTGCACATCTTCAACATATATATAAACATCCTACAAAGTTTCAAGCTTATATGTCAACAAGAGGCCCAAGGGGCCTTAACGGTCACCTGAGGAATATATGTCAATAATCTGGGGATTTTAAAATATTGCAAAAACGTAACAACACTTGTGCAGGACCAAGTATAAAACATCTATACCAAGTTTGAACATGACCCACCCAATGGTTCTTGAGAGGAAGTCCATAATGTCTTAGCCAAACAGAGGCCAGGGTGGCCATCTTGGATTTTGAATTGCCCCAAAAAATTAAAACACTTGCCAGGACCTTGTGTAGAACATTCATATCAAGTTTCCCCTTTTCCCCCCTCCTGGGGCCCCTATTGGGGCCACGCTCTTTTTCTTCGCACACTTGAAGCGGCTTCCCATGGGGATGCTTTGTGCCAAGTTTGGTCAAAATCCATCCATTGGTTCTTGAGAAGTAGTCATTTAATGAAGGTTTTTATATATGGCCATTTTACATCCCTTATGGGCCCCAAAGGGAACATTATCACTTTTTCAACATAATTTCATATGTCCTTCACTAAGGGATGCTGTCTACCAAATTTGGTTGAAATTGGTCAAAGTTGAATTTTCTACCCTTTTGAGCGCCCCCTAGTGGGGCCGTTTTTGACCTGATTTTTTTTTCATTCACAAACTTTGTAGACCTTGCTATCAGTACCCTAAATATCAAATATGAATTTAATTTGACTGTTGGTTCATGAGAAGATGATTTTTAAAGATTTACCTAATTTTACCCCCTTTTTCCCCCTCCTGGGGCCCCTATTGGGGCCATGCCTTTTTTCTTAGTAAACTTGAAGCGCCTTCCCATGGGGATGCTTTGTGCCAAGTTTGGTCAAAATCCATTCAGTGGTTCTTGAGAAGAAGTCGAATATGTGAAAAGTTAACAATGCACGACGACAGACAAATCATGATGACAATAGGCCTTCGGCTCAGGTGACCTAAAAACCCTAGGAGGAGTTGATTCTACAAAACTGGTATCCCTTTTCCCCACCCACCTGCCCAGCTGCCCGCCCAGCTGCCCGCCCGCCTGCCCGACATTCACAATACTTTAACCCGGATTTGCACTATGTGCAACCCGGCCAAAAACTTGGAAAAGACAATTAAGCTATTAGAAATAATGCACGCCCTAAAGACTTCACAACCTGAGAACCAACAGTAGTTTATCAACCTAACTGACCCCAAACTTATGTAAATACTTACCATTGTTAAACCTTTCTTTTCGTGTATTTTCCTCTCGTCAACACTATCTGAAATTTCCTATAAAAACAGCAGTATGTTACTGTTATCAAATCTTCACATTAATATATTTTTCTTTCTTCCTTGTAACCTGGAAAAAAGTTTGGTATAATTTGTGATGTTGATGTCGTAATCATGCCATGTTTTCTGCATGCCACTTACATTCTTTTGAACAATCATGTTTACATTTATTTTTGTATAATTAAATTACCTTTTCTACTTTTTTTATCTTTTTAATTTAATGACATTAAAATCATCAACTCACTTGTTTTAATTTGTTGATTTCCTTCTCGTATGTTTGAAGTTCAGCTTTAAGAGATTCCTCTTTATCACAGCTTAGCTAAAACAAAAACAGATACACTTAAGTACAGGAGAGATGCTCGCCAATAAGCCCATCCATACTTTTTTTTCCACTTGGGAAGGGATTTACTTGTGTTGAAACAGGTACAAACTTCCAATTACTCTTACAAATCACTGGCAACACAAACGAAAGTGTATATTACAAGGGCTATCCAATAAAATGCCTCACAACATTTACAAATCAAGTGCATGGTTTTAATGTATGATAATATTCACTTGTACAGTGGAAACCACTTTATGTCATGTTGGTTAATGTCACTTTCTGGTTAATATCACATTTTCTTGAAAACCCAATTTTTTTCCCTGGTTATTGTGTGTGATGATAAGAAATTAATCAAACATGAACCTTTTACATAACTTATGATGAGTTGTGTGTGTTTTTTATTTGTTTCTTATTTAAATGATTCAAGGAACACCAAACTGTAGCATGCCAATGTCATCGTTACAAATGTCGCCATCCTAGACTTTATGTGGACAGACTTTTGATACAAACCCAAAGATGATAAAATAAAACATTTGAAATTCAAGTGTAATGAAATTGAGCCTCGATTAATTGAATATATAAAACATATGCCCTGCTTTATGGGGCTGCCTACGTGTTTTGCTGATAACATAATCATCTTTCCCAAACAATTAGATTTAGGTACAGAATGTATCATATGGAATGAAGATTTAAAAATATTTGGACAAAATGTGTTTATATAATGCAGAAAAGGCAAACATGACCACAAAGTTTCACACTTATTATACACAATACATCATAACACCTGGTCTGACCTTGTAAGTTTCCTCGTACTTTTCCTTAAAGCTATCCAGTTTTTCTTGGTTCACCTCCTGGAGGCGTGTCAGGGCAGACTCATGTTCCACCTCAACACGACTTAATGTCGCAGCGTTCTCAACCACCTTGTCTTTCAAATTTTGCTGTAAAATCAATTAACAAGTTTTAAATAAAGTGGTGAGGAGGCATCAAATATGTTTTAAAAAAAGTACAGGGCATTGACAGGGACATAGATCTGGCTGTAAAATAAAACACATACAAGGATAAGGACTTGTATGAATTGTATTAACAAATCAAACATTAAAATGTCTGTACGACATGATTACAATCAGTTGCAAAATAGTATCAATGTTTCAAAAGTTTCTATATATAGTAAATGTGACATTGACCTCTGATCCCTAACTTTCTATATATAGTAAATGTGACATTGGTCTCTGATCCCTAACTTTCTATATATAGTAAATGTGACATTGGTCTCTGATCCCTAACTTTCTATATATAGTAAATGTGACATTGACCTCTGATCCTTATAAGTAAAATGGACTTATCTGCAATATTTTGACAGTGATAGAGAACTTAATCAAAATCCCTAAAAAGATGAAAGTGATTCAAGAGGGGACAGGATGTGACAGGATGAGACAGAATGAGACAGGATGGGATAGGATGGAACAGGTGAGACAGGATGGGATAGGATGAGACAGGATGTGACAGGATGGGAAAGGATGGAACAGAATGAGACAGGCTGTGACAGGATGGGATAGGATGGAACAGGATGAGACAGCATAAGACAGGATGAGATAGGATGGGATAGGATAAGACAGGATGTGACAGGATGGGAAAGGATGGAACAGAATGAGACAGGCTGTGACAGGATGGGATAGGATGAGACAGGATGTGACAGGATGGGAAAGGATGGAACAGAATGAGACAGGCTGTGACAGGATGGGATAGGATTGAACAGGATTGAACAGGATGAAACAGGATGTGACAGGATCAGATATGATGAGACAGGATGAGTCAGGATGTGACAGAATGAGACAGGATGTGACAGGATGAGACAGGAAGTAACAGGATGAGACAGGATGTGACAATATGAGACAGGTTACGACAAGATGTGACAGGATATGACAAGATGTAACAGGATGTGACAGGATGAGACAGGATGTGACAGGATGGGATAGGATGGGATAGGATGAGACAGAATGAAACAGGATGGGATAGGATGAGACAGTATGTGACAGGATGTGACAGGCAGATGAGGCAAGATGAGACAGGATATGACAGAATGTGACAGGTAGAAGAGACAGGATGTATCTGGTTTATAATCTGGCTCCACCATAGAAAAACAGTGGCATTATGAAATGGAAATATGAATCTGGTAACACTGAAGTAGTGGTGATTGCATGGTTATCTGGTAGGTACATGTAATATTACTGTCAAGGTAAATACACGTATCTGAACTCTCTCTTCTATAAATCATTTTAATTTCTGTTTCTTTTGAATTTCCTTTTAAGTCTTAAATGAGAAACTTGAATTACCTCAACTTCCTGCAGACGTCTCTCTAACCAACCCTTAGCTTCCTCCACTGACTGACTCTGTGCCTTAAGTTCATCAACTTGCTGACGAAGCTTCATACATTCAGCACTCTGTCCCTGAACAGCAAAAAACAATGAGCAGGGTTATCTTGTTGGACGACATTTACCTGTCCTATGACTATATTTACCTGTCCTATGACTATATTTACCTGTCCTATGACTATATTTACCTGTTGTATAACTATATATACCTGTCCTATGACTATATTTACCTGTCCTATGACTATATATACCTGTCCTATGACTATATTTACCTGTCCTATGACTATATTTACCTGTTCTATGACTATATTTACCTGTCCTATGACTATGTTTACCTGTCCTATGACTATATTTACCTGTCCTATGACTATATATACCTGTCCTATGACTATATTTACCTGTCCTATGACTATATTTACCTGTCCTATGACTATATTTACCTGTCGTATGACTATATTTACCTGTCCTATGACTATATATACCTGTCCTATGACTATATTTACCTGTCCTATGACTATATTTACCTGTTCTATGACTATATTTACCTGTCCTATGACTATGTTTACCTGTCCTATGACTATATTTACCTGTCCTATGACTATATATACCTGTCCTATGACTATATTTACCTGTCCTGTGACTATATATACCTGTCCTATGACTATATTTACCTGTCCTGTGACTATATTTACCTGTCCTGTGACTATATTTACCTGTCCTGTGACTATATTTACCTGTCTGTCCTATGACTATATTTACCTGTCCTATGACTATATATACCTGTCCTATGACTATATTTACCTGTCCTATATATTTACCTGTCCTATGACTATATATACCTGTCCTATGACTATATTTACCTGTCCTGTGACTATATTTACCTGTCCTATGACTATATTTACCTGTCCTGTGACTATATTTACCTGTCCTGTGACTATATATACCTGTCCTGTGACTATATTTACCTGTGACTATATATACCTGTCCTGTGACTATATTTACCTGTCCTATGACTATATTTACCAGTCCTATGACTATATTTACCTGTCCTGTGACTATATTTACCTGTCCTATGACTATGTTTACCTGTCATGTGACTATATTTACCTGTCCTGTGACTATATTTACCTATCCAGTGTGATTATATTTTCCTTCCCTGTGTGACTATATTTACCTGTCCTATAACTATATTTACCTGTCCTATTACTATATTTACCTGTCCTAAGACTATATTTACCTGTCCTAAGACTATATTTACCTGTCGTGTGACTATATTTACATGTCCTATGTCTATATTTACCTGTCGTGTGACTATATTTACCTGTTCTGAGACCAGTTTAGCCTGGAGAACTTTGACCTCTGCCTCGTGGGCTTCCTCCAGTTGTCTCAGCTTGTCTTGGTGACTGGCATTGTCCCTTTGATATGTATTTGCTAGTTCGTCAAGCATGTTCTTCCTTTTCTCTGCAATCTGTCCACATTGAAATCATCAGCTATTTCTTTAATATTCAATATTATATACAGAAATCCTTAGAAATGTTTTCAATAGTCCAGATATAAGACCCTTGCTTCACAGTCCAGATATAGACCCTTGCTTCACAGTCCAGATATATGCCACCCCGCTTCACAGTCCAGATATAAGACCACTGCTTCACAGTCTAGATATAAAACCCCTGCTTCCAGGTCCAGATATATGACCCCACCACCCTCCACTCTCCTGATATAAGCCCTCTCCTCCATTGCCCTGAAACATGCCCCCTCTTCAATTGCCCTGAATTCTGTTTTAGTCAGAATTTATATGTTAATATCTAAGTCTATTTCAGGCAGTACTCAATATGCAGATATCTAGCTTGTAAGTTACTGTCAGATATCCTTTAAATCAATACACAGATATTGTTACTTACTATCCATTGTCAAAACAGATACTTACTGTCAGATATCCATTAAATCAAAACAGATATCTAGCTTGTAACTTACTGTCAGATATCCATTAAATCAATACACAGATATCTAGCTTGTAACTTACTGTCAGATATCCATATTTATCAATACACAGATATCCAGCTTTTAACTTACTGTCAGATATCAATTAAATCAATACACAGATATCTAGCTTGTAAGTTACTGTCAGATATCCATATTTATCAATACACAGATATCCAGCTTTTAACTTACTGTCAGATATCCTTTAAATCAATACACAGATATCTAGCTTGTAAGTTACTGTCAGATATCCTTTAAATCAATACACAGATATCTAGCTTGTTACTTACTGTCAGATATCCATTAAATCAAAACAGATATCTAGCTTGTAACTTACTGTCAGATATCCATTAAATCAATACACAGATATCTAGCTTGTAACTTACTGTCAGATATCCATATTTATCAATACACAGATATCCAGCTTTTAACTTACTGTCAGATATCAATTAAATCAATACACAGATATCCAAGCTTGTGACTAACCTTGTTGGCCTCCTGCCACTCCTGAATACGAGTATCACGGTCCTTCTGAACAGCATACAACTGCTCCAGTGTCTCCTGGCATGCTTGTTTACTGGCCTGTAATACAGATTTACATAACAGTGTCTCGCTCAAAATAGTCCATAGTGTTATATAGTAAGTCTTTACCTGTCCCTTTATTAATTAGTTTTAATTTTTGACTAACTGTTGCTGCTTTTTTTGTTCTTTGTCTATCAGTCTAATATGCAACTATGTCCTGACACTGACCTCTAACTGAACTCTAAGGTCATCTCGCATCTGTTCTAAAGAAGCCACCTGAGCCAGTAGTCCCTCGATCTGTTGTCGGTGCTTAGTGGTCTCCTCATGTAACTGTTGATTACCAACTATACTGGCAGCGTCCACCTAAACAAACACATCAATGTTAACATCCATATAAATACATCAATGTTAACATCCATATAAATACATCAATGTTAACATCCACATAAATACATCAATGTTAACATCCAAATAATTACATTTATGTTAACATCCATATAAATACATCAATGTTAACATCCAAATAATTACATCAATGTTAACATCCATATAAATACATCAATGTTAACATCCAAATAATTACATTTATGTTAACATCCATATAAATACGTCAATGTTAACATCCATATAAATACATCAATGTTAACATCCATATAAATACATCAATGTTAACATCCATATAAATACATCAATGTTAACATCCAAATAGATACATCAATGTCAACATCCATATAAATACATCAATGTTAACATCCATATAGATACATCAATGTTAACATCCATATAAATACATCAATGTTAACATCCATATAAATACATCAATGTTAACATCCATATAAATACATTAATGTTAACATCCATATAAATACATCAATGTTAACATCCATATAAATACATCAATGTTAACATCCAAATTAATACATCAATGTTAACATCCATATAAATACATCAATGTTAACATCCAAATAAATACAGCAATGTTAACATCCATGTAAACTCATTTATGTTAACATCCAAATTAATACATCAATGTTAACATTCATATATATACATCAATGTTAACATCCATGTAAATACATCAATATTAACATCCATATAAACAAATTTATGTTAACATCCATATAAATACATCAATGTTAACATCCATATAAATACATCAATGTTAACATCCAAATAAATACATCAATGTTAACATCCATGTAAACACATTTATGTTAACATCCATATCAATACATCAATGTTAACATCCATGTAAATACATCAATGTTAACATCCATATAAACACATTTATGTTAACATCCATATAGATACATCAATGTTAACATCCAAATTAATACATCAATGTTAACATCCATATAAACACATTGATGTTAACATCCATATAGATACATCAATGTTAACATCCATATAAATACATCAATGTTAACATCCAAATTAATACATCAATGTTCACATCCAAATTAATACATCAATGTTAACATCCATATAAATACATCAATGTTAACATCCAAATAGATACATCAATGTCAACATCCATATAAACACATTTATGTTAACATCCATATAGATACATCAATATTAACATCCATATAAATACATCAATGTTAACATCTGAATAATTACATCAATGTTAACATCCAAATAGATACATCAATGTTAACATCCATATAAATACATCAATGTTAACATCCAAATAGATACATCAATGTTAACATCCATATAAATACATCAATGTTAACATCCATATAGATACATCAATGTTAACATCTGAATAATTACATCAATGTTAACATCCATATAGATACATCAATGTTAACATCCAAATTAACACATTTATGTTAACTTCCATATAAATACATCAATGTTAACATCCATGTAAATACATTAATGTTAACATCCATATAATTACATCAATGTTAACATCCATATAAATACATCAATGTTAACATCCATGTAAACACATTTATGTTAACATCCATATCAATACATCAATGTTAACATCCATGTAAATACATCAATGTTAACATCCATATAAACACATTTATGTTAACATCCATATAAATACATCAATGTTAACATCCAAATTAATACATCAATGTTAACATCCAAATTAATACATCAATGTTAACATCCATATAAATACATCAATGTTAACATCCATATAAACACATTTATGTTAACATCCATATAAATACATCAATGTTAACATCCATATAAATACATCAATGTTAACATCCAAATTAATACATCAATGTTAACATCCAAATAAATACATCAATGTTAACATCCAAATAGATACATCAATGTTAACATCCATATAGATACATCAATGTTAACATCCAAATTAATACATCAATGTTCACATCCAAATTAATACATCAATGTTAACATCCATATAAATACATCAATGTTAACATCCATATAAATACATCAATGTTAACATCCATATAAACACATTTATGTTAACATCCATATAGATACATCAATATTAACATCCATATAAATACATCAATGTTAACATCTGAATAATTACATCAATGTTAACATCCAAATAAATACATCAATGTTAACATCCATATAAATACATCAATGTTAACATCCAAATAGATACATCAATGTTAACATCCATATAAATACATCAATGTTAACATCCATATAGATACATCAATGTTAACATCTGAATAATTACATCAATGTTAACATCCATATAGATACATCAATGTTAACATCCAAATTAACACATCAATGTTAACATCCATATAAATACATCAATGTTAACATCCATATAAATATATCAATGTTAACATCCATATAAATACATCAATGTTAACATCCATATAGATACATCAATGTTAACATCCATATAGATACATCAATGTTAACATCCATATAAATACATCAATGTTAACATCCATATAAATACATCAATGTTAACATCCATATAAATACATCAATGTTAACATCCAAATTAACACATCAATGTTAACATCCATATAGATACATCAATGTTAACATCCATATAGATACATCTATGTTAACATCCATATAAATACATCAATGTTAACATCCAAATTAACACATCAATGTTAACATCCATATAGATACATCAATGTTAACATCCAAATTAACACATCAATGTTAACATCCATATAGATACATCAATGTTAACATCCATATAGATACATCAATGTTAACATCCATATCAATACATCAATGTTAACATCCAAATTAACACATCAATGTTAACATCCATATAGATACATCAATGTTAACATCCATATAGATACATCAATGTTAACATCCATATAAATACATCAATGTTAACATCCATATAAATACATCAATGTTAACATCCATATAGATACATCAATGTTAACATCCATACAGATACATCAATGTTAACATCCATATAAATACATCAATGTTAACATCCAAATTAACACATCAATGTTAACATCCATATAGATACATCAATGTTAACATCCATATAGATACATCAATGTTAACATCCATATAAATACATCAATGTTAACATCCAAATTAACACATCAATGTTAACATCCATATATATACATCAATGTTAACATCCAAATAGATACATCAATGTTAACATCCATGCAAACACATTTATGTTAACATCCATATAAATACATCAATGTTAACATCCAAATTAACACATCAATGTTAACATCCATATAAATACATCAATGTTAACATCCATATAAATACATCAATGTTAACATCCATATAAATACATCATGTTAACATCCAAATTAACACATCAATGTTAACATCCATAGAGATACATCAATGTTAACATCCATATAAATACATCAATGTTAACATCCATATCAATACATCAATGTTAACATCCAAATTAATACATCAATGTTAACATCCAAATTAACACATCTATGTTAACATCCAAATTAACACATCTATGTTAACATCCAAATAGATACATCTATGTTAACATCCATACAGATACATCAATGTTAACATCCATATAGATACATCTATGTTAACATCCATACAGATACATCAATGTTAACATCCATATAAATACATCAATGTTAACATCCAAATTAACACATCTATGTTAACATCCATACAGATACATCTATGTTAACATCCATACAGATACATCAATGTTAACATCCATATAGATACATCTATGTTAACATCCATACAGATACATCAATGTTAACATCCATACAGATACATCAATGTTAACATCCAAATTAACACATCTATGTTAACATCCATACAGATACATCAATGTTAACATCCATATAGATACATCAATGTTAACATCCATACAGATACATCAATGTTAACATCCATACAGATACATCAATGTTAACATCCAAATTAACACATCTATGTTAACATCCATATAAATACATCAATGTTAACATCCATATAGATACATCAATGTTAACATCCATATAAATACATCAATGTTAACATCCAAATAACCACATCGATATTACAAGTTTATACAATAAAACACATTCAAACAGATTCATTTTCTGTAATTTTCCTATAAAGCATGTACACAGGAGATACAATTTTAATTAAAATCTCTGACATTTTTTTTTCTAAAAGAACAAACACAAAAAATAATCTACAATGTAGAAAGCCGACCTGTTGTTGAAGAGAGGCCATTTGCCGCTGCAGACCCACTATTGTGTTATGTGATGTCATTTCCTTTTCATCTAAAGCCTGGAACAGAAAACATAGTTTACAATCTGATTTACAAAGCTTTATCTATAATGCTTCCCTCTCATTAAATCTTTGGTTTAACATTGAAAACAGCACATAACAAACAGTTTTTTTCATACCTGTCTCAGTTTTTCTGTCTCCTGTTGACAACGTGTTACTTGGTCAGTATAATATTTCTGGTCCCGATCTCGAGCACTCTGTAGCTCCTCGGTCTTCTTACTATTAATCAATGGATTTTAAATAGTTATGATTATGCTTACATCCATGATTAAAAATTCAGGGGAAAGCAGACATTATTCAGCATTCTCACTTTGAGAACATGACATCAATTACATATAACCTAGATGGCATGTGCTGATAAGTAAGAAGACACTACTGGCCCAGATTTTTAACAAGCTTCTTTTTCTCCCCTTAAGAGTATATCATGTTTCATTCTTTCTGACGTTCATATTTTGTAATTGCTTCGTTTATTTTGAGTGTCTGTTTTTTTCATCATTTCATATTTCATAGTTTTTAGAGCAGCTTGCTTTAGTGTGAGAGACACAAAGTGATGACTTAATAATCCCTATTATATAGGTACAAGAATTTCAATTAAATTTTGTTATAAAATATGGAATGTTTGTTTTCTCACCTTTGTTCCCTAAACAGTTGTTCCTTTTCTTCCTGAAGCTGTTTGTAGCTGTAAATACAAAGTCAAATGCCAAATAAACTTTTGAAATATAAATCTGTGATTCTGTTTATTAACAAATAATGATACATACAAATATCGGCCTATCTATTTGGTGTTTAGGTAACGTGATTGTCAATATCTCACTTTATATATGTGTTATATATTAGAATCATAAGTCTACAAACTTCTACACAATGAATGGATGATGATTACATTACAAGTGTGCTGCCCTAACTTTCTTGTTCCAATGAAAGGAGTGTCCAATCCTTAACCATCACAGTGAATACTTATCACTGCCATTTCTTTTACTCAACAGTACAGTAAAATTCACAATAAATCTAGCATAATAACATTTTTTAAGTATACATACCTTTCTTGTTTTTTCTTTAATTTTTCAGATAACTGTTGAAATCAAATGTTTAATCAATAAGCAAATTTAAAATTCTTGTGATTTTTTATATTATGTTTTACAATTTCTATAAACTTTTTATACTTTTCCCAAATTCACTGACATCTCTGAACCCAAAACTTTATCAGGTCTCCTTAGTAATATTGATATTTCTATAGTAACAGGGCTGTCCATCATTTAAAATCTGAACATCACCAGAAAAAAAATAAACAGTTGGTGAAAACAAAATACAGAAATATAAAAGAGAAAACAAACTTTGATGAACTAATCAGTTGAATATTCTCACAACAACCATTTAAGACTGTTATCATGAAGTTGAAGTGTAAAAACCCACCTTTTCTAGTTCATCTTGAAGTGCAGATGTTTTTTCTTGAAATTTTTTCTGAAAAATTATACATGCTTCTAATAATCAAAAGACTAACATCATCAAAGTCAATCAATAATTCAGTCATTGACCAATAGTCCTTACTTTTAAGTATTGACCTCTCAATTTGAACTTTCAAATATCACCAGAACTATTTATGAAATGAATGTATTATCTTATATCCTACAAGCTAACAATAGTGTAACGGCTTTTGTAAAACTACCCACAAATACTTGACAGTAAAACATGAAGATTAAGGAAGTACCTCATTATTAATCAGCTGCTCCTTTAAAATTCTTTTTTCTTCCATTTCCGTATCTAAATTCAACATCAAATCTGAAAAATGAACAGGAAATTAAATATCATGAAAATGGCATCTGATAAAAGTTGGTGAAAACAAGTATTCTGATTGGTCCCAAAACCAGACAAGCACATCTAGGGACAAAGAGGAACTTATTTATGAAATCTGAGATAGATTCATCCAGTGCTTCTCAAGAAATAGAAATAACAACAAGTTTACTGATAGTGCTGCACGCAACACTCGTCCCCTGCTGTTAATTAAATTTTCTAAGCAACACAGACCTAGACAGCAATGAACAGATGTCTCATTTTAACAACTGAAAGTTTTCCCACCGAACACCAGTGTCTTGACAAGAAGGACACAAAAACAAGAAAATAATGAGGAAAAAAACTTTATATGCACGCTCTTTACAATACTGTATTAAGTATTAATCAGAAAAAAATTTACGGACAGACAGAGGTATGACAAGTGGTTAGATGGTAGGCTAAAAACCCTAACTGTAATCAAAAGCCCTTTCTAGCTTTTAACTGTTTTACGATGACTTAAAAACTTAACCTTACCATTAATCTCACTTGACAAGCCCTCTGTCACTGGTACATGGTTCACCGAGGGTTTCTTCTCTGCCACTGGATAAAACAATTGGCAGAGAAAGATAAGAAATTAAACACTTCATCTGTCCTTTTTGTTACACATCAGATACTGTTATCATACACATCACACTGAAAGTATTACTCTAAAATATGTTGGTGAAAATGACAGTTTGTGTATGTTGTTTATAAAGCATACATCTTATTTAGAGTCAGCCTCAGGACTTACCTGGTCAGCCTCAGAACTTACCTGGTCAGCCTCAGGACTAACCTGTTCAGCCTCAGAACTTACCTGTTCAACCTCATAACATACCTGGTCAGCCTCAGGACTTACCTGGTCAGCCTCAGGACTAACCTGTTCAGCCTCAGAACTTACCTGTTCAACCTCATAACTTACCTGGTCAGCCTCAGGACTTACCTGTTCAGCCTCAGGACTTACCTGGTCAGCCTCAGAACTTACCTGGTCAGCCTCAGGACTAACCTGTTCAGCCTTAGAACTTACCAGACTTAGGTTGAGGCACAATCTCATCAATATCCTCACTTGGTTCATCTCTGCCAGTGAAAAAGATAATATCATTCAGTAACACCTGTCTTAACTGACTTCAAAGAGACTGACCATTCTTTTACAATAGTAAAACTTGTCTTAACTGACTTCAAAGAGACTGACCATTCTGTTACAACAGTAAAACTTAACTGACCTGACTAGGACTGACCATTCTGTTACAACAGTAAAACTTAACTGAACTGACTAGGACTGACCATTCTGTTACAACAGTAAAACCAGCCTTAACTGACCTGACTAGGACTGACCATTCTGTTACAACAGTAAAACTTGTCTTAACTGACCTGACTAGGACTGACCATTCTGTTACAACAGTAAAACTTGTCTTAACTGACCTGACTAGGACTGACCATTCTTTTACAACAGTAAAACTTGTCTTAACTGACCTGACTAGGACTGACCATTCTGTTACAACAGTAAAACTTAACTGACCTGACTAGGACTGACCATTCTGTTACAACAGTAAAACTTGTCTTAACTGACCTGACTAGGACTGACCATTCTTTTACAATAGTAAAACTTGTCTTAACTGACCTGACTAGGACTGACCATTCTGTTACAACAGTAAAACTTGTCTTAACTGACCTGACTAGGACTGACCATTCTGTTACAACAGTAAGACTTAACTGACCTGACTAGGACTGACCATTCTTTTACAACAGTAAAACTTGTCTTAACTGACCTGACTAGGACTGACCATTCTGTTGCAACAGTAAAACTTAACTAACCTGACTAGGACTGACCATTCTGTTGCAACAGTAAAACTTAACTGACCTGACTAGGACTGACCATTCGGTTACAACAGTAAAACTTGTCTTAACTGACCTGACTAGGACTGACCATTCTGTTGCAACAGTAAAACTTAACTGACCTGACTAGGACTGACCATTCTGTTGCAACAGTAAAACTTAACTGACCTGACTAGGACTGACCATTCTGATGCAATAGTAAAACTTGTTATAATTGACCTGACTAGGACTGACCATTCTGTTACAACAGTAAAACTTGTCTTAACTGACCTGACTAGGACTGACCATTCTGTTACAACAGTAAAACCTGTCTTACCTGACCTGATTAGGACTGACCATCCTGATGCAATAGTAAAACTTGTTATAATTGACCTGACTAGGACTGACCATTCTGTTACAACAGTAAAACTTGTCTTAACTGACCTGACTAGGACTGACCATTCTGTTACAACAGTAAAACCTGTCTTACCTGACCTGATTAGGACTGACCATCCTGATGCAATAGTAAAACTTGTTATAACTGACCTGACTAGGACTGACCATTCTGTTACAACAGTAAAACTTGTCTTAACTGACCTGACTAGGAATGACCATTCTGTTACAACAGTAAAACGTAACTGACCTGAATAGGACTGACCATTCTGTTACAACAGTAAAACTTGTCTTAACTGACCTGACTAGGACTGACCATTCTGTTACAACAGTAAAACTTAACTGACCTGAATAGGACTGACCATTCTGTTACAACAGTAAAACTTGTCTTAACTGACCTGACTAGGACTGACCATTCCGTTACAACAGTAAAACTTGTCTTAACTGACCTGACTAGGACTGACCATTCTGTTACAGTAGTAAAACTTGTCTTAACTGACCTGACTAGGACTGACCATTCTGTTACAACAGTAAAACTTAACTGACCTGACTAGGACTGACCATTCTGTTACAACAGTAAAACTTAACTGACCTGACTAGGACTGACCATTCTGTTACACTGATGGTTAAAATTGTTATTGCATTATCAAAACCCCAAAATATCACAGATAATTGCCTATTGCAATTTTACATGTATGTCCAGTGAGAAGCCAGAGGGCCTACAGTTTGTACATATGGTTTATCACAGGACAATTAAGCAGCACCTTGTAGGAATCTTATTTACCTGGCATGTGACTTATTACTGGATTAACATGTAAAATGTGTGAAATAAGCCTGTATGTTGAAAACTTCTCTGATTCTAAGGGTGTGCTTATTACTGAAAAAGATTCTACGGAACAGAATGTGCTAATTACCTGATGAATATGAATAAGGGTGTGGTTATTACTGGAAAAGATTCTACGGAACAGAATGTGCTAATTACCTGATGAATATGGCACAATATAATCATATCTCATTGATGACTAAGTATTTGTGTACATTACTGGAAACACAGGAATACACTAGATATTTACCCAGTTGTGGGCTGACTATCTACATCGGACAGCTCAGCTGATTTTTCAGGAGAACTTGGAGGAGAAAGTAGGGCTATCTGTTTCTCATACTTCTCTTTATACACTGTTAAAAAATGTAATACAGTATCATCACTGTTCAAGTACCATATAGACATTCAAAAATAGTCAGATATTCTTATCTATTGTTTGAACTTTTCAGAGATTAGGAATTCTACGAAATTTCACAAAATAGGAATGTCTTTCCAAACAATAAAAAAATTACAAAAAAAATTAAAAACACTTTAAATAATGGTGTTATTGTTATTCTAAACTCACAATCTTCCTCTTTATACAACAGTAATATCAAATCAACAAAATCTCAATAAAATCACGCTAACATCAAGGACCTTTCGGGGCTTGACATGTTAATCAAATACAGATAAACAAACTATATATAACATATAAGGCATGGTCATTGATTTTCGACTGAAGATAAGTTCTGTCACCTTGAAATTTTAATTACCCTAAATATTAGCAACTTCTCTCAAAAAAGGACAAATAAATCCCATTGAGATAAGCTCATATAAGTAAGATACATGAAGATCTTGGACAATTTGAATATTATCTTAATTTTAAAACCAAAAGAAAATATCTAATTGAAAGGTTTATCATACCAAGCAAATTTTGTCGTAATGTTTAAAATTCTACATATCTTTATATAGTTTCTTTATAATGATGATAATTACCAGTCAGGTTTTTCTGTAAGGCTGCATTCTGGGCCTTGAGGTGACGAATTTCATCATCAACCTCTGAGGTGGTCGAGGCATTTAAGCTGTCAATGACGTCTTCTCCAACACATGACTTCATCCTCTTCTCCAAGTCTTCGTTGGCTGACACAAGCTGAAATGGAAGATAGCCACTCAGATGTCAATTTCTTTATCAACTCTAAAATCTACTCATAACAAATGTGTTTGCCATAGGAACATTAGTGAAGTTTTTTTTAATTCTTTTTACCATTCCTGTAATCTACCTTTCCTTCATCACATAGCTGTCGCTGAAGCATTGAACCAATACTGAACATTTGACATCATGGACACATTTGACATTGTCGACACATAATCTTTCATGTCAACACCAATAGTAGCATTACATGAAAAACCTGTATGTGTGCATACTTACTGTGGACAGTTCTGTCATGAGCGTCTGATTCTGTAGACGGAAATCTTCCTCTTGACTCTCAAGCTTTCTTTGCAGCGTGTCATTCTCCTGAAGAAGTAACTCAACTTCCTACCAATTAGAAACAATTTCAAAACTCTTCAAACATTTTATACAGGTTGGTAATGTACTCGTGTATTGAACAGAATATTGTGACAAATAAGTTGATATAGAGTGTTTTACAGGTGTTATAATTAACCTTCATTCTAACTGTCAGTCTGAGGTACAGGTGTTATAATTAACCTTCATTCTAACTGTCAGTCTGAGGTACAGGTGTTATAATTAACCTTCATTCTAACCGTCAGTCTGAGGTACAGGTGTTATAATTAACCTTCATTCTAACTGTCAGTCTGAGGTACAGGTGTTATAATTAACCTTCATTCTAACTGTCAGTCTGAGGTACAGGTGTTATAATTAACCTTCATTCTAACTGTCAGTCTGAGGTACAGGTGTTATAATTAACCTTCATTCTAACTGTCAGTCTGAGGTACAGGTGTTATAATTAACCTTCATTCTAACTGTCAGTCTGAGGTACAGGTGTTATAATTAACCTTCATTCTAACTGTCAGTCTGAGGTACAGGTGTTATAATTAACTTTCATTCTAACTGTCAGTCTGAGGTACAGGTGTTATAATTAACCTTCATTCTAACTGTCAGTCTGAGGTACAGGTGTTATAATTAACCTTCATTCTAACTGTCAGTCTGAGGTACAGGTGTTATAATTAACCTTCATTCTAACTGTCAGTCTGAGGTAATTAACCTTCATTCTAACTGTCAGTCTGAGGTACAGGTGTTATAATTAACCTTCATTCTAACTGTCAGTCTGAGGTACAGGTGTTATAATTAACCTTCATTCTAACTGTCAGTCTGAGGTACAGGTGTTATAATTAACCTTCATTCTAACTGTCAGTCTGAGGTACAGGTGTTATAATTAACCTTCATTCTAACTGTCAGTCTGAGGTACAGGTGTTATAATTAACCTTCATTCTAACTGTCAGTCTGAGGTACAGGTGTTATAATTAACCTTCATTCTAACTGTCAGTCTGAGGTACAGGTGTTATAATTAACCTTCATTCTAACTGTCAGTCTGAGGTACAGGTGTTATAATTAACCTTCATTCTAACTGTCAGTCTGAGGTAATTAACCTTCATTCTAACTGTCAGTCTGAGGTACAGGTGTTATAATTAACCTTCATTCTAACTGTCAGTCTGAGGTACAGGTGTTATAATTAACCTTCATTCTAACTGTCAGTCTGAGGTACAGGTGTTATAATTAACCTTCATTCTAACTGTCAGTCTGAGGTACAGGTGTTATAATTAACCTTCATTCTAACTGTCAGTCTGAGGTAATTAACCTTCATTCTAACTGTCAGTCTGAGGTAATTAACCTTCATTCTAACTGTCAGTCTGAGGTACAGGTGTTATAATTAACCTTCATTCTAACTGTCAGTCTGAGGTACAGGTGTTATAATTAACCTTCATTCTAACTGTCAGTCTGAGGTACAGGTGTTATAATTAACCTTCATTCTAACTGTCAGTCTAAGGTAATTAACCTTCATTCTAACTGTCAGTCTGAGGTAATTAACCTTCATTCTAACTGTCAGTCTGAGGTATAGGTGTTATAATTAACCTTCATTCTAACTGTCAGTCTGAGGTATAGGTGTTATAATTAACCTTCATTCTAACTGTCAGTCTGAGGTACAGGTGTTATAATTAACCTTCATTCTAACTGTCAGTCTGAGGTACAGGTGTTATAATTAACCTTCATTCTAACTGTCAGTCTGATGTAATTAACCTTCATTCTAACTGTCAGTCTGAGGTATAGGTGTTATAATTAACCTTCATTCTAACTGTTAGTCTGAGGTACAGGTGTTATAATTAACCTTCATTCTAACTGTCAGTCTGAGGTACAGGTGTTATAATTAACCTTCATTCTAACTGTCAGTCTGAGGTACAGGTGTTATAATTAACCTTCATTCTAACTGTCAGTCTGAGGTACAGGTGTTATAATTAACCTTCATTCTAACTGTCAGTCTGAGGTACAGGTGTTATAATTAACCTTCATTCTAACTGTCAGTCTGAGGTAATTAACCTTCATTCTAACTGTCAGTCTGAGGTAATTAACCTTCATTCTAACTGTCAGTCTGAGGTACAGGTGTTATAATTAACCTTCATTCTAACTGTCAGTCTGAGGTACAGGTGTTATAATTAACCTTCATTCTAACTGTCAGTCTGAGGTACAGGTGTTATAATTAACCTTCATTCTAACTGTCAGTCTGAGGTACAGGTGTTATAATTAACCTTCATTCTAACTGTCAGTCTGAGGTACAGGTGTTATAATTAACCTTCATTCTAACTGTCAGTCTGAGGTACAGGTGTTATAATTAACCTTCATTCTAACTGTCAGTCTGAGGTAATTAACCTTCATTCTAACTGTCAGTCTGAGGTAATTAACCTTCATTCTAACTGTCAGTCTGAGGTACAGGTGTTATAATTAACCTTCATTCTAACTGTCAGTCTGAGGTACAGGTGTTATAATTAACCTTCATTCTAACTGTCAGTCTGAGGTACAGGTGTTATAATTAACCTTCATTCTAACTGTCAGTCTGAGGTAATTAACCTTCATTCGAACTGTCAGTCTGAGGTAATTAACCTTCATTCTAACTGTCAGTCTGAGGTATAGGTGTTATAATTAACCTTCATTCTAACTGTCAGTCTGAGGTATAGGTGTTATAATTAACCTTCATTCTAACTGTCAGTCTGAGGTACAGGTGTTATAATTAACCTTCATTCTAACTGTCAGTCTGAGGTAATTAACCTTCATTCTAACTGTCAGTCTGAGGTAATTAACCTTCATTCTAACTGTCAGTCTGAGGTATAGGTGTTATAATTAACCTTCATTCTAACTGTTAGTCTGAGGTACAGGTGTTATAATTAACCTTCATTCTAACTGTCAGTCTGAGGTACAGGTGTTATAATTAACCTTCATTCTAACTGTCAGTCTGAGGTACAGGTGTTATAATTAACCTTCATTCTAACTGTCAGTCTGAGGTACAGGTGTTATAATTAACCTTCATTCTAACTGTCAGTCTGAGGTAATTAACCTTCATTCTAACTGTCAGTCTGAGGTACAGGTGTTATAATTAACCTTCATTCTAACTGTCAGTCTGAGGTACAGGTGTTATAATTAACCTTCATTCTAACTGTCAGTCTGAGGTAATTAACCTTCATTCTAACTGTCAGTCTGAGGTATAGGTGTTATAATTAACCTTCATTCTAACTGTCAGTCTGAGGTATAGGTGTTATAATTAACCTTCATTCTAACTGTCAGTCTGAGGTACAGGTGTTATAATTAACCTTCATTCTAACTGTCAGTCTGAGGTAATTAACCTTCATTCTAACTGTCAGTCTGAGGTAATTAACCTTCATTCTAACTGTCAGTCTGAGGTATAGGTGTTATAATTAACCTTCATTCTAACTGTTAGTCTGAGGTACAGGTGTTATAATTAACCTTCATTCTAACTGTCAGTCTGAGGTACAGGTGTTATAATTAACCTTCATTCTAACTGTCAGTCTGAGTTAATTAACCTTCATTCTAACTGTCAGTCTGAGGTACAGGTGTTATAATTAACCTTCATTCTAACTGTCAGTCTGAGGTACAGGTGTTATAATTAACCTTCATTCTAACTGTCAGTCTGAGGTACAGGTGTTATAATTAACCTTCATTCTAACTGTCAGTCTGAGGTACAGGTGTTATAATTAACCTTCATTCTAACTGTCAGTCTGAGGTACAGGTGTTATAATTAACCTTCATTCTAACTGTCAGTCTGAGGTACAGGTGTTATAATTAACCTTCATTCTAACTGTCAGTCTGAGGTAATTAACCTTCATTCTAACTGTCAGTCTGAGGTACAGGTGTTATAATTAACCTTCATTCTAACTGTCAGTCTGAGGTACAGGTGTTATAATTAACCTTCATTCTAACTGTCAGTCTGAGGTACAGGTGTTATAATTAACCTTCATTCTAACTGTCAGTCTGAGGTAATTAACCTTCATTCTAACTGTCAGTCTGAGGTAATTAACCTTCATTCTAACTGTCAGTCTGAGGTATAGGTGTTATAATTAACCTTCATTCTAACTGTCAGTCTGAGGTATAGGTGTTATAATTAACCTTCATTCTAACTGTCAGTCTGAGGTACAGGTGTTATAATTAACCTTCATTCTAACTGTCAGTCTGAGGTAATTAACCTTCATTCTAACTGTCAGTCTGAGGTAATTAACCTTCATTCTAACTGTCAGTCTGAGGTATAGGTGTTATAATTAACCTTCATTCTAACTGTTAGTCTGAGGTACAGGTGTTATAATTAACCTTCATTCTAACTGTCAGTCTGAGTTAATTATCCTTCATTCTAACTGTCAGTCTGAGGTACAGGTGTTATAATTAACCTTCATTCTAACTGTCAGTCTGAGGTAATTAACCTTCATTCTAACTGTCAGTCTGAGGTACAGGTGTTATAATTAACCTTCATTCTAACTGTCAGTCTGAGGTAATTAACCTTCATTCTAACTGTCAGTCTGAGGTACAGGTGTTATAATTAACCTTCATTCTAACTGTCAGTCTGAGGTACAGGTGTTATAATTAACCTTCATTCTAACTGTCAGTCTGAGGTACAGGTGTTATAATTAACCTTCATTCTAACTGTCAGTCTGAGGTAATTAACCTTCATTCTAACTGTCAGTCTGAGGTACAGGTGTTATAATTAACCTTCATTCTAACTGTCAGTCTGAGGTACAGGTGTTATAATTAACCTTCATTCTAACTGTCAGTCTGAGGTACAGGTGTTATAATTAACCTTCATTCTAACTGTCAGTCTGAGGTACAGGTGTTATAATTAACCTTCATTCTAACTGTCAGTCTGAGGTACAGGTGTTATAATTAACCTTCATTCTAACTGTCAGTCTGAGGTACAGGTGTTATAATTAACCTTCATTCTAACTGTCAGTCTGAGGTAATTATCCTTCATTCTAACTGTCAGTCTGAGGTACAGGTGTTATAATTAACCTTCATTCTAACTGTCAGTCTGAGGTACAGGTGTTATAATTAACCTTCATTCTAACTGTCAGTCTGAGGTAATTAACCTTCATTCTAACTGTCAGTCTGAGGTACAGGTGTTATAATTAACCTTCATTCTAACTGTCAGTCTGAGGTACAGGTGTTATAATTAACCTTCATTCTAACTGTCAGTCTGAGGTAATTAACCTTCATTCTAACTGTCAGTCTGAGGTACAGGTGTTATAATTAACCTTCATTCTAACTGTCAGTCTGAGGTAATTAACCTTCATTCTAACTGTCAGTCTGAGGTACAGATGTATACAAGTTGATATAGACTGTTTTACAGGTGTTATAACATAGATAAAAGTATTTAATAGTTCAATAGACCTGAAGCCATAAATAGACACGAGTTAGTTATAATGCTTTATGTTTTATCCATAGTTATATACAATAGTTTGGATACCTACCTTTGCCTTCTTGCTTTTGTGTATTGCCTATAAATAAAACATGTTGAATATAAGTACAGAGTGACAATTATGACACAGGTTAGCTTTATCAGTAACCAGTGAGATAGTACAGGAAAATTCAAATCAAAAGGCCCAATGGACCTGAAGCATCCATGATATAATTTCCGTAGTATCGATGTTCTGGGAGGAGACTTTAATACATCTTACCTTATTTGCCTTCAGAAGATCTTTCTCCAGTTGATCTGTCTTCTCAACCCATGTTGTGATTTCTAAAAATTAACAAGAAATACCAACATGTCAACAGAATCTTCATTCAAACTCAGATTTGATCAAACATGATAAAACTGAAACATTATGAAGATGACTGAACTTTGTTCTACTTACATATCATTAATCACGTCTTTCTGTCACTATATTTCTACTTACATATCATTAATTACATCTATCTGTCACTATAATTCTACTTACATATCATTAATTACGTCTTTCTGTAAGTATAATTCTACTTACATATCATTAATTACGTCTTTCTGTAAGTATAATTCTACTTACATATCATTAATTACGTCTTTCTGTAACTATAATTCTACTTACATATAATTAATTGCGTCTATCCGTCACTATAATTCTTTCATGAGAGATGAGAAACAAGACAAGAATTTCTACATTCCACATTATAATGTAAAATTTCGCTGATTTCCACAAATTTGAGTTCTTATCTAGTATTTTAACACAAACACTGACACAGAAACTTATACTCCAAAGTCATTGGATGGCAGAGCAATTGTAATCATGTGTATTTTTCTAAAAAATCGGTGTTATAAATAAACACATAACATCATATACAACTAATTTTGAGTTAGAATATCAATACTTTTGATTATGACTTACAATGAACAAGTGTTGGAGTTTGAACTTTGAACTGTATTCTGGGTCATTAATAAAAGCCAGTAGCATTATAGTCAATAGTATTACCTCTTTCTTGTTTTTTGCATTTTCCTTCTAATTCATAGCTTGCAGTCCTTAAATCTATTAGTTGTAGCTGAAAGTAAACGAGGAGACCTAAAATACCTGGTAAAACATTTACATACAGGTGTATATATGTAAACTGCATGATCATTGAAGTAATAACAGACAAGTAAATTGTCACATAGGTATAAATACTGTATGATCACTGATGTAACATCAGAAAGGTAAATTGTCATATAGGTATATATACTGTATGATCACTGATGTAACAACAGACAGGTAAATTGTCAAATTTTGAGGCAACTTGCTCCTTTATAAAGACACAAATATTACATAAATATTAGTTGAGATATATACACATACTTTCTCTTGTGAATTAAAATTTATCCTTCATGGAAATTAAGGTATAGATGCAGATGATGTATACTGTGATTGAAATATTAAATACATATATTTCTGTGTGTTGAGGGGAAAGACCAGCTGCAATGTTGTATTGCGATAACGTTATGATTTTGCAACATTGAAAAGGAGGCATGGTATCACTACTGATATTAGTACTAGAGAATTGCGTAGTGTTGTCAATTAAAGCTTCAAAAAGATGGATTAGATTGGTCAAAAGCAACTGACCATCTGGTCAATCTGAAATGACAAATAAAAGATCTGTTTTTTTTCAGTGGATGATAGATACAAACACTAAAATCAATAAAACACACTGAGCAACTAATAGTAGATTGAAGATCCATTCCTTGATTTTGTTTGAAAGGAATTAGGATGCATTGAAAGTCCAATGTATCAAAAATCTATTGCATCCTGTAGCTATTGACTTTGATGATAAAGCAACCTCCACTCACATAAAAATACATTCTGTATACATACATAAAGTCAGGATTCTATACCTGTCACCATATTAACTGAAAGTAAGGTATAATTATATGGTATTGATGCCTAAAAGATATCATTTCAAAAATATGTTGTGTATCAATTAAAATTTGTTGTAGTTTCAAAAATCCTTCCTCTTGCCATTGCTTTAAACATCATCTTTCCGGCAAAACATTGTTGTGTATGCCATAATTTACAGCAATTCATATATCTACTTTTGTCATTGCTTTTTGTGGAAAATGTAAAGCATGTATAATGTTGTCTATTATTGTTATCCAAATATTATTATAGATGACGTATGTTGTTAATGCAAGCAGCGTCATCTGTTTCACATGTCTGAGTTTTCACCTGTTTCACATGTCTGAGTTCAAGTTATTTCTCCTCCGAGATATGGGTTGCATTACAGAGTATCCACACCAATTAATATATGGTGCTAGCTGTCAGTCTGGGGTTCGATCATTTGTAACAGGTATGATCAGCGGAGACTGGGTACGATCATTTGTACTATGGATGAACAAGATATGTTGTAACAGGGACGGAGGAGACAGTACTATGATCATGGTTACTTGTTCCAGGGACGATGGAGATGGAGTATGATTACTCGTACCAGGAACGAAAGAGACACAACTTCATTTCCACCAAGGAGACAGTTGTGCTAGGAAGATGGAGATGGGATATTTCACTTTACTTCGACAAAGTGTTTTGTTTATTACAATCCGAACGTTACAAGATGATGTAAGAAGTTAGAACACTCATATGGACAGTTGTGAATAGTTAACAAGGCTACTACTAAAAAGTTGAAATCCTCGTTACTGTCAGTGTCGCCTGTCGTGTATGAGGTCAAGTGCCACGATGTCAGCATACACCTGAAAATATCCAATATAGTTTGATAATTGTGTTTGTATACTTATAGGTGCCATGCATCCCTCAGATTATTACATTGCAGTACCTGCATCCGATGGAACTCCTCCTCCGACAAGGAGGACGCCATCTTGGATTCGTCAATGTTGTCAAACGAAACCGAGGCTACATAAACACAGGTAGGCCAACTCGCCCGCTATGACGCTGACAGCAGCTGTTGCATACTGTTTGCATGTTAACTTAGTCAGAAGAAGTAATTTACAATCGATTGTACAAATGAACAAAAACAAACGGAATATGTGTAAAGTACAAATGAGAAGAAAGTCGATATCTTCTTCTTAATAACTCCACCTTGACTTGATATTAATGTTAGAGGAGGTTTCCTAAAGTGCGTGGAGGACGCTAAAATACAAGCCAAAAAAAATAGAAACAAAACACATTTTTTTTGTTAGAATGAACATCAAACTAAGTTCAATCTAAGATATCACGGAAACTTTATTGCCGTATGATCCGCGAGAAGAAAAGTTTTAGTATCCAAGTATATTTGGAACAGTTTATCTCAGCTTGTTGTTGCTGTTTCTACTCTAGAATAGTTTGAAATCTTGTTAGATGGAAATTGAAAAAAAAATACATTGTTGTACTAACGAACAATCGGTGACTTATATTGAAAATTTTACACATGAAGTAATGTACATTTTAATTCTATTTTTAAATGTTTCTGATATGGACATATAGTACCTATATGTTTGTGTCCATTACCAATCGGTCCCATTTAAAAAAGCGCATCAACGTGCACGCGCTTTAGCTTTTATGTAAATACCTGTATAGAATCAAGTATCTTCTCCGTCGAAATGCTGAAGAGTTTACCACAATTTGAAAATAAGAAATTTACAATAACACTATGATTATTATAAAGAAAAAACTTATTTCCCGAATATATCCGAACGCCCGACTCTTCAGTTATCGCAAACAAGTCTGTATATAAAACGATGGTTGGTTCATGTATTCCATGCAATACTATCTTTACCAGCTTTGCTAACTTTTTCACAAATATTTTCAGATGTTGGTTTAACATCACTGGTGACACTAATAACCTTTTTCGACTCCATAAATATCAATGGCTTAACATCTTCCATCTTGTGCTGCCAACGTACGCCGTTTTACATTTGTCTAGATGAAAAAGTGGTCGTCAGAGATCTAATCATTGGTGAAACGAAAGTGTATATTGTTACAGAGCCTTACAGTCTTTTTCATCAAGCTGTTATGTTAAGTAATAATGAGTGTCGATTCCCATCCTCGATCCTAGACCTATTCTCCCAATAGGTCTTACAATTTGCTACCAGAAAAATTCAGTTGTTCATTGGTTCAAAACATCTAGATTTCGGGTCCTATGTATGTAACTATAATTCAATTATGAATTACAATAGTTGACCACGCATACAAATTGTCAAGGTCAATGCTGAGTCCTTTGAAACCCTGCTGAAGGTCAAGTGCAGTTCCATACCATCACGATCTTATTACAAAAGAAAGCAAGGTATATTTCTGGTATTGAAAACAAATTCAAACCAATTTCGTGTTCCTCTGTTGATGTACGATATAAATAAAGCCACAGTAGTAGTATTTCTTTCAAATTTTCTTTATCTAACATTTTTTACTATTTTTTATGTAGCGGACGGAATGCCACCAACAAATAAGCAATTTTATTCATGTACCAAAGTGATATTAACGTAAAAATCAGAGCTCAAACTATTCCATTGCTTTTGCTAAATATTAATATTTTGATGCATTGTCCAAAATATGTTTTTAAGACAATGCAAGTCCAAGTGTCTCATTCAGCACAATTTTAAGATTTGTATGAAAAATAACAGGAGACAACAAACGTATTTACATTGAATCAATGATAACAAAAAAAATGTTTACTTTCAATGTACGTAAAAACTTTCACGTTGTCAAAAAATCTAAATGTTTACAAATGTTAGTCCAAAGACCAGGATCTGATTGGTCATGACGTTTGGTTACTTGGGTGGGTTCTGGTGTCATTGTAATGACGCTAGAAAACATATACCAAATAACATTATCAATCAACGACCAAAAAACCCTGTTCTTTCCTATGCAGTGCATTGTTTTGACCTCAACAGAATCACGATCTATATCCTGTAAAATGCCTGGATATGGTCTCCCATCATACTCAACAACACACCACTTACCAATTTGATCCGGTTCTTGCAGTAACTGGATGAGCCCAGCTGAAGACATTGAGGCTTCCGCATGACTTGCCTGATTTTCAGCAGACCTGCCTTTGTCACTTCCAAACGCCATCTCTTCTATATTGGTAGGACCTTTACTTACACGCTCTACCTCATTTTCTTCAGTAATGTGAACCTTTTTCGGCTCGAAACATTCGCATTCACGTGGCCTTTTGCAAAAGCATGAAAGACATCTTACCTTAATGGAGGATGTCCCCCGATCGCTTAAAACCTGATGCAGTGACATTGTACCGGGGACTGCTTTAATTGTGCTTGGAATGGTAACATCGATTGCGTGAATAGCATCATCGGGAATCATGTACAGTTTAACTGACAAATCAAGTTCGGATAGCTCATGAAAAAGAACATCTGCATCGGTGATATCTCTGCCATAACCAACTACGTTATCAGCAGAACGTTTAATGGTTGGTCCGATGCCATCAGGAGCGCCTTTTCCATGGCCAGATTCAGAAAAATTCCAACTAGCGTATTTGAAGCCATACGCTGAATGAATGCGAGATTTGAACAAATGGAATTTTTTTCTGGACCGATATTGAGACGTCGGCCCATCACTTACAACATGAATCGTGTCTACTTGGGATTTAGAAGCATTTATGTCTTTAAAGACTGGATCGAAATGTGCCCATGTGGCGGCGGGATCATGCCGGGTATTTTTAGCGATTGAACAGAAAGAGTTGATGCCTGTTTTAGTATAGTGCACACCAGTGTGAAGTGCAACTTGGCGTCGGGATGCGCCAAAATGCATTGACTGAACCTCATCAGCCATCTTGCAAGCGTAATTCTCAGAGAAGTCAATATGAATTATGGCCTCGTTTTCACATAAGCCATCCTTCAGATTTTTCAGTATGTTGTATTGATGGAATACGTTGTACACATGTCTACAAAACTTACCCTTCAAACTTTGAGATGTTTCATCCAGTAACTGGTGCAGAAGCATGTGTTCTTTTCCTTTAACAGTGACATGGACATTGATTTTCTGTACCTCACCATTAGGCTTTTCTATAGTTCTCTCTTCTGTTTTGTTGACCCATTTGTGCACCAATACTTGCATGTTCTTATTAAAATCTTAGTTATGTGGGAATGATAACACTTTGCCAACACTCTCCATACATACACTCTTTCTTATTTGCATCACTACACACTTCGTTCAGATTTTTTGTATCAAGGACTTTGCAATCAACTAATCTCTCAACTAGAAATTTCATATTTTCATGAATTTTGCATGAACACGTGTCTCGGCCTGAACAATTTGGCTCAACAATCCAAAACGGTCTTAGCCTGCAGACTGTTTGGTAGGAAGTAACCATTAGTTGACTTTCAGCAAGAAATTGTTTGTGTAAGGTAATCAGATTGTCACACAGAAGGCGTTCTTGTTTTTTCATTTTGTTCCGAGTGATAGTATCTCTCTTTCCAGGCATCATTTTGTTCCGAGTGATAGTATCTCTCTTTCCAGGCATCATTTTGTTCCGAGTGATAGTATCTCTCTTTCCAGGCATCATTTTGTTGTTACAATCCTTTTCAAGTTCAAGACTGACGCTATTTTTTTTTCTGCAACGTTCGTATACAATTTGTTTTCTTCTACATTTGTTTGACGTAAGACGTGATCTTGAAATCCCTAGATCAGATGGAGAATATTTCAACAGCCTGTATTTTTTTCAGTATGGAACCGGAAATAACTTTCGATACAACTTGTTTTCCCTTTTCTGTCTTCTGCTGCTGTAACTACTGCACTGTTGAATAACAGCTTCTTCTTAACATCACTGGGAATACTGACACCCTGGAGTTGTTGCTTTAATGCTCAGCGAGGACTTTTTGTCTCGGTTGTGCTCTCCATATCGGTATCTTCGTAGTCGTTTCTGTTTTCTTTTCTCATGTCTGGATCCATTTTCTTTTTCAATCTCTGTCATCTCTTCTTGAATTTTAATTTGTCTCTTTGTGCTTTTAAAATGTCGGCCTCCAGCTGCTTATTTCGTCTTTATACTTTTTATCTGTCTCTTTTCACTTTCTTCCGTCCACGACTCTTTCTGTCGCTCTCATTACCTTGTGACGGTCCCGGAGACGATGGTGGAGTAAACATCACTGCTGATAATTCCTTTTTCTTTTCCGATTCATTTCTCGTTTCTCTGTTCACCATTTTCGGGGTAGCTTCCTTTACTCACGTTCTGGTAGTGATTTTATACTAGGTCTTTCGCTTTGACTTTTTCTTTTTTTGTGTCTTCCTTTTTTTTTTACGAGACACTCGGCGTAACTGAATCATTCTTTATATTCTGTCTGTATTTCCGCGCCCTTTCTGCTGCGTTCATTCCCATTTTTATATAGCTGGTACTCCTTATTAAACAGAATTCGTTTATCGAGTTTTGCAGAAAAATCATTATATTTCCACCAACGTTCTGTAATGATGGGTTCACAAAAATCAACAAGATGGTACGCGACTGTAAACTTTTGTCTGTCTAAATCCTTTTCTGCTTCTATAACATCTTTCTCAGTTTGAAGCAATTTGTTTTTCAGTACCTTGTTTTCCATTTGGTCAATGTCTGAAAATATTGAATGCTGCTGTTAAGCTTTTACATCTTTTTTTTTCAATATTTTTTAATTTTCAACGTACAAAATTCCGTACCGTCACGTCGTGGTCTGTACCGTCACGGCAAATTATACAAGAACGTGACTGTACGGAATTATTTAAAGTTAACAAGCAATAATGTTTTAATCCGTGACGTGTGGGACAATCGAAAATACTTATAATTATCTCATCAAAATAATTAAAATTTTGCAATTTTCTGACTGAAAGATTCTCACTGTACTATAAGTAGGAATGTGAACGGTACGGAGAGCTATTAAAGGTACAATCGAGCAAACTATTACTT